GGAGCATCTTAAGATACGCCTTAAAACTATAATTTTTTAACCGATTTTGGGGCGTATATTAACATACGCCCTATCGTATTTACTTCATGAAAAGGTAAATATGTTTATACAGGCGGATCTTTGCAGGTCTATGCTTGTATAATTTTGCTATTGGCCGTTTAAAACCGAAAGAAAAGAACAGTTCACCGTATGTACTTATCCAGAGCGGTTGTTCGTGTAACTTAATACGTTTGTTTTGTGTTCCAAAAAAATCTAAGTAAACATTGGTAAGTACGTGGCTCTTTTATTTAATAAATGACTTTCGTATATTAGGTATTATGAATGAATATTATAACGAGTATTTTTACTTGTTGTTTAGCTGAATAATTGTAGTCCTAGTATTTTAAGTTGATTTGTGACTATTAGAAAGAGAAGGTTTGTTAAAAATAAAAACATCTTACACATTGTAAGTTGCTAAAAATAAAGAATACTAAAAACTAGATAAAATCTAAATAACTACATTTAAAACTATCGTATTAAAAAAAAATTGATTGATTAATAGACGTATTTTAATTACAGGTACACTATGATGGAAGTTTTGGTGCAATGGAGGGATCGCTCAATATGTTTGGTATGTACAAATAAACTAGAGGTGGTAAACAAGGACGATACGTTTAAAAACGGTACACGTGTTAAAATGCTACATAATGAAAGGTGGTATTTTGGAATCATCCTTGATATGAAAGGATATTGTGGTGGCAGTTCGAGTGAAGAAAATGAACCTTTGACAAACACCGAGATTGGATCGGAATCAGATAATACAGATAATAGTGAAAAAAATAATAAAAAATCAAGTGACCATTTAAACAACGGCGATCCCTACTCGGATATAGACTTAAGCGATACAAACGATCCCACTTATACTCAGTGCTGTGAAGTACCAAAATGCAAAGGAGAAGTGTTCAGTTCCTGTTTCCGTTGTCAAATCCTTCTCTGCTGGAATCATTTCATGGAGGATTTACCTACTTGTGATAAGCATCGCAATCAAGATTCCAGTGATGATTCGTTTGTGTCAAAAAGGAGATATCGCAAAAAAAAGAAGATCGATAATCGAAAGCCCGAAGAATACAACGTAGAAGGTGCATCAAAGGAATATGAAAGGGAAGTCTTGACGAGAACAAATAAAAAGAGAGTTGCTCAAGTTTTACGACGAAGTGGTGCTCAATATGTTTCAGTAGACACCAAAAAGACTGTTAGCGGACGTAAACTAGGTTCATCCTGTAACAGTGAGTGGTGTAAAAAGGGCGGTTGGAATTGCAGTAAGTTTAGTAAAGAAGTTAGGCAATCAATATTTGATAACTTCTATAAATTGGCTAATGTACAACTCCAACGCGAATATATTGCGCGATGATCAAGGTAATGGCTTTAAATGGACAGAGGTAACAGAGTTCAAAGTTACTAAAAACGATTTACAAAAAATTTTCTTTAAAACAAGTCACCTAGAAGAAAATTATCGATCAGTCACTCTAAAGCGACAAAATACTCCTTTCCTAACTAAACCACTAAATAAATTAAACACAGAGCCCCGACCTATATCGATGGCAAAATATAAAGATTTGAACACTCTCTGTACCGGTAACACACCAGTGATACGGTTACCAGAACATATTAATAATTTTTATAAATCTCTGCCTCATACAGCGGAATGAAAATTTAAAACTATTTTTTTTTAAATATGTTTTTTTTTAAGACTAAACCCTTTAGCTTCGTCCTTTTAGTTTTAGTCAAGTGTTTAATAATGGTTATTTTGATACAGTTTTTGTTAAATATAAATTTTAGTTTTCTTATTATTGATACTCTTTTTTGTGAATTATAATGTTTTTTTTGGAATGTATTTTCAACTATGTTTCCTTTACAATAATAAATTAATTTTTTATTATTGTTCAGTCATCTTAAATCCTATTCAATAAAATATATTAGCAGTTTTTTTCATTTCTAAAACAGTTTTTAGTAAAAAACATTCAAATCGACTGGTTGTTTGCGGAAGGCGTATCTTAAGAACCCACATCAAAGCTATTGTTGCTAGCTCTACAAAAGGGCGTATCTCAAACTAACCCTAAAAATAATAATAACAATAATTTAGTCATTATTTAAATGATAGAGTACTATTTCTTAGTCATTGTTCTTTACTATCACAAAGAAAGAACTTTATATTCAGTCCAGTTTTTCTGAAATGGAAGCAAATAGAAGTCGGAGATCCGTTTTTCGCTCTAGTGAAAAGTTGCAAAAATCGAGATACGCCTTTACAGATTTTCATCGACGATATGTTCTACTTGTTTCCGTTATTCTGTTCATTAAGTTTTGCAGCCCTTCTATGGTATTGGAAAATACTCTTGTATCATCTGCATACCGCAGGTTATTGAGCTTGACTCCATTTATTGAGATGCCTTCATCAATATCTTTAAGGCCTCTTTAAAAATGTGCTCCGAGTACAGATTGAATATCAGTGGTGAAATTATGCACCCCTGTCTCACTCCCCTTAAGATTTTGACCTGATCTGTATATTCTCCATCTATTCGGAGTACCGCTGATTGATTCCAATACAGATTAGCTATAATTTTTAATTCTCTTCCATCAATCCCTGTTCTCTTCAACACTTCTATCATTTGTTCATGCCTGACTCTATCTAAAGCCTTCTTGTAGTCAATCAGGCATGCAAAAACATTACAGCTGACATCTCTACATTTCTGAAACAAGATCTGCACGCTAAATAAATCTTCCCTTGTACCAATGGCGTTAACAAATCCAAACTGATTGGGCGCAATTTGTTCCTCGCATTTCTGGTAAATTCTTTTGTGGATGACCTTTAAAAACAGCTTTAGCAGATGGCTCATTAGACTTATTGTCATATAATCTTCACAAACTTTTGCTCCTGGTTTTTTGGGCAATGGTACGAACTCCGATTTGAGCCACTCTACTGGTATTTTTCCTGCCTTGTATATTTCATTAAATATATCAGTTATTAATTTTATTTGTTCTGTATCTAATAGCTTCAGCAGTCCTGCAGGAATTTCATCAAGTCCCGGTGTCTTTTCATCCTTCATTTGTCTGACGGCTGCCGTTATTTCTTCTGGTAGGATTTCGGGACCTGAATTTTTCTTCAACGGTGGGCTCTTGTGCTGTTCTAAGGTCATGGAAAAGTTTCCCCAAGTATTCTTCCCATACTTTTTTTTATCTGCTTTGATTATGGAAAGATTGCCTTTATTATCTGTTATTTTTCCGCTGTTACGTTTTCGTAACTTTCCAGCTATTTCCTTCACCTTTCGATGAACATTGAAGTTATCATATCGACTTTGATACTCTTCTATTCCTTGACATTGTTCTGTTTTTTGTTTCTCTTTGGCTTCTCTTATTTTTCTTCTGACGATGGTATGTATTCTCTTATATTCTTGGAGATTTTCTTTGTTTTTTTTCCTCTGATCCATAAGCTCAAGTATTTCATCGGTCATCCACGATTTGCGTTTCTCTGTGTGTTTCTTCAGGTGTTGTTCTTTTATTTCTCTCACTGTTTCTTGTATGATGGTCACTTTCCTCTATAGTTTCTGCATTTTTGCATGTTAGCACCCTTGTATTGAGGTTTTCTTTCACCTTTAGTTGAACATTGGGATCTTTCAGTTTTCTAAAATCATACTTCTTCATCGACTTACTTGTAACCTTCTTCATTCTGACTTTGAAATTACCTACAACTGGTACATGATCAAAATTTATGTCTGCCCCGGGTATGTTTTGACAGATGTACAGCTGTTCCTATGCCTCTTATTTACTAGCATGTAATCAATCTGATTTCTTACAATCTTTCCCACAGTATCCTGTGGAGATTTCCAGGTGTACAGTTTCCTTGGGTGTAGCTTAAACCAGGTGTTCATTATTACTAATTGATTTGCTTCCGCAAAAATCTCCAATGTATCTCCACGATCATTCCGGTTTCCTAGACCAAATGGTCCAACTGCAGATGATGTTTTGCTGGCTCCAACTTTGGCGTTGAAATCACCCATAACAATTGTTAGGTCTTGCTTTTTTAACCTTTTCATGACTTGATTAATGCTATGGTATAGTTCTTCTATCTCTTCTTCTGTTCCTTCTGTTGTAGGCGCATATACTTAAATTATATTGATGTCGATTGGTCTTGCTTGTAGTTGTATAAGCATCACTCTTGCTGAGATTGGGATGAAGTTATCAACAGATTGTGCCACTTCTTTTGTCAATATAATGCCGACACCTAATTCATGTTTGCCGTTATCTGTTCCAGAATAGTAAACGTGGTGTTCCCCGATATTTGCGTCTCCTGGACCTGGCCAACGCATTTCGCTTATTAACATTAACCATATGAGTACCATAAGAGTTTCAGATACATACCTACAAAAACAATCAATGAGTCCATAACATCATACTGTACCATATATAGGAAAAACCCTTTTTGGGGTTTTTGAAAGACTTTCAACATAATAATTTTTAGTACTCATCTAAGAGGATATCTAATATCGCAATACAATGTATTTCAACTTTTTCTCGCTCTAAAAAAATGTTTTTACCATGAAAAACAACCTTAACCTTTTAACTCTGTTAGAAGTGGTTAAACATTTCAAAAATAATGAACTTGAAACTGCATGTGGCTGCCTATCTTGCTGTCAGAACTAATCCGCATATCTAGTATACACTATTATTATGTGCCAGATAGGGGCTATCATACAGCTACGACAAAAATTGTGTTAAACATTAAAAAAAAAAAAATTGGTTTGTGTCATTTATGGCACATAATGCGATAATGGGTTAAAGTCCATACCTCAATGGTATGGACCTAAGAACACAGTAAGAGTGCATAAAATGAAATTTTTATATCATATCTTGTTAATATATCTTTCATTATAAAAAAACTATGTTTATCCAGCTCAATTCTACATCTGGTCTAAGAGTAATGCATTAATGAGAGCTGGGTAATAAAAAACTGTGTATGTACCAGTTTAACAGTAATATATTAATAAAAAAATGGCCAACAATTATATTAAATTAAGGTCTAAAAGTATAGTTTTGTTTAGAAGACTCTGATTCTCTAGCTCAACATAGTTCCAACAGGTCTTAAAGTTATTATGTATAGATGTAGCTAAGTAATAGTCAGAACTGAGAACTATGTTTTCATAATTTTCCGTGAATGCAGATATACTAATATTCAATGAACTTATCAATGTATATCCTCCTTTTTCCTGGTTGTAGTCCTTTACCATATATTTATAATGCATAATGCTCTCTAGAGTTTGTTTGGGGCACATATAAAGCTGAACCATAATTCCTAAAAAAGAAAAATGTGATCAACATATCTATTTAACACTTTGACTGCGTTACATATCCCCGGCGGTATGTATAAGTACATATCTTCGATATTTTTCATAATAGATTTTTGTTTTCAGTAGCCAGCTATAGAATTTTAAATTCTGCAACCAACTATACAGATATTAAAGTACATATCTCGGGAGATATGTACAAGTGTGTCTATAGGTATGTTTGGAGGGGATTATAGTATTGTTGTTCTTAGAACCGTACATTTAGTGGTGATTTACACTTTGCCATGGAAGGTTATAGAGCGCAAAAAATATTAGAATAAAGATATTATACAGATAAAGAATTATCGTGGAGAAGTGTACTTAATGAATATCAAGCTGATTTGGAAGGCCAAGGATCTTCATTAGATTTTTAACCCAAAGTGGACAATTGTTAGTATCATCATGAGCAAATGAAGCCAAACAAGATAATTTAGAATGAGAAGTATATTCATCAGATTTTAATCCTTTTGATAGTGACGATTCTGTATTAGATCATACTTTTGATCCATCACTTTACGACAATGCTAGTCGCAAAGAACAAGCTACTGGTATACAATAAGAGACTAATGAGAGCTTGGAGTCTGATAATGAGGATGAAATTACACATGTTTCAGAGAATATTTCTAGTGTTTGGAACAATACAACAATTACCCCTTATCCATTTAAGATGTATATTGAGAATTGTAAAATTAATGATAACAAAGATCTAACCGAAATTACAGGCCCTGCTGATATTTTTAAATATTTCATAAACAATGAAGTTCTCCACATTATTGTCACACAAACTAATTGTTATGCCACTCAACAAATAAACAAAGGATATGCCGAGAAGTCAAGAGTTAAAAGTTGGAGTGATACAGATATAAATGAAATTCATAAGTTTTCCGCTATTCTTATTGTTATGGGGATTACAAATGTGCCATTCATAAACTCTTCTTGGTCAAAAGATAAAATGTTCCATAACGAGTTTATAGCCTCAACAATGCGTTGTGACAGATTCTTGCTACTTTTAAAATTCATACATTTTGCCAATAGTGAGGATGCACCACCTGGTGACAGACTAAGCAAAATTTCGAAACAAAGCAAAAATTTTAGTAAAAGAATATAATAATATTCTAAACGCTGCAAGGGTACTTTTTGATAGAGATTATTGATGAGACAATGGTGCCTTTCAGGGGTAGACTACATTTTAGGCAATACATCCCTAACAAATGTGGTAAATATGGAGTCAAACTGTATAAACTATGTTCTCCAAATGGATATACTTTTAATATAAATGTGTATGCTGGAAAGAGAGATACAACTGCACAATAAGGTTATTCGCATGCTATTGTAAAAGAACTTTTGAAAATAGTTGAGGCAAAAGAGGGGAGGACCATTTATTGAGATAATTTTTACTCAAACATACCGCTAATAGAAGATTTATATAAGGAAAAAATGATTTATTGTGGAATGTTGAGGAGCAATAGAAGAATAATACCAAAACAAATATGTTAAAAGCTAAAAAAGGGACAAGTTATTGGACAAGAATGTAATGGTGTAAAAATAATAAAATGGTTTGATAAAGATCAGTCTTAATGATATCCAGTGATCCTAGTCATGATGCGACATTAACTGCTACTGGTAATGCAGCATATTTTATTGATGTGTTTTTAATCATGTGTACTTCTGCTATATATTGTACTCTTTTGTACTAAAATTTTGACTAGTCTGATAAGATTTATACATTTTTTTTTTCTTGTAAAAATTGTGTAAACTTTGTGGATGAATAAATTCTATCTATCTATCTATCTATCTATCTATCTATCTATCTAATAAGTACACAATTTTTACTATTTTAGGAAAACCTAATAGACAAGGTGATGAAATTTTGAAACCACAGTGCATCATCAACTATAACAAAGCTAAAAAGGGGGTAGATTTTAGCGATCAAATGTCTTCTTACCACACATCAGTTAGAAAATCTCTGAAGTGGTATAGGTATATTACATAGTTTGTCAAATTGTTCCTCTTTTACATTGCTAATTTATTGTAGAAAACTCATGTTTGAATTAAGTTTGGGTACATCATTAGTTAATGCATGGGTGGTCTACAATATGGTTGCCCAAACTAAGATTGGAATTTTGGAATTCAGAAAACAATTAGCTGAAAAACTTGCAGTATCTGATGAAATAGTACAACGCCCTGTAGATAGTATGAGAAAAAGGGGTTCATATGTTTGTAAAACCTGATGGTCCAGGTCGAAAAAAGAGGAAACCATGTAAAGGATGTAACCAAACACTACAAACAACAAACTCCAGAGAAGCTGACAAAAAAGTTCCCCATGTAACAAGATTTTGTAATAAGTGTCCAAATATGCCTGGATTTTGATTATCTTGTCTTAATAAACACCATCAGTAACTTTTTCTTAGAATAGTTATTAAAAAAAAGTTAATTTATTTTGGTTCCATAATTTATTATTTTCATCTGATAAAATTAGATACTTTTGCTATCACCGGGGACTTGTTACACACAAAACTTAAGTGTACTTACATATCGCCGGCGATATGTAACGCAGAGAAGAGCAAAGTACAGATTTTCTGTTATGAAGTCAAAGTGTTAAAATCTTTAAGACATAAAGAGGAACAACAGAAATAAACATTTGAATGATGAAGTATAAATTTACTATTTGTAAACTACTAACCTTTACTGATCAACTTCTGAATAGACCCAACATCAGACTTATTATGTTCAAAATTTAATAATATACGAACTTTTACTCCACGTTCATGGGCTTCTACTAGTGCATCAATTATTTCTTGAATCTCGATGAACATATAAGCTACATATATACTCTTTTCTGCAGTTTTAATAAAATATATTAACGGTTCATACATAGGATATAGACCGTCTTTAGATGTAATGTCAGGTAGTATTCTATCTTTATGTGGGGGCCACCCACTCATTCCCTTTGCAACTGTATACATAACAACACAATTATGCCTATTTTGGAATAGCAACTGTTCTTCATATTTTTTTTGAAAATATTTATATTTGCTGTAAAATACTTTCCATGGTATTATAGCTAGAGCAGTTAAGCCAAAAACACAATATTTGTTTTCCAAAAGGTTTACTAACATTGTAGAGTTTTATAACATCTGATTGTTGTTAAGGTACGAATATAGCAAAAATCCAAAAATATGACTATAATAATAAATTGTACTATAAAATGTTACAAATGATATAAAAAAACATAAATAAAATTAAAATAAATGTATATAATTATTTATATTTTGATTTGAAGGTTATTGGCACTATTGCATTTGCATTAGCAGTGTTACCACTTCTCTGGCCAGTCGGTAAAATGTCAGTTTCTCATATCATAGTTCAAAATATAAAAGTGATTTATTGTTATTTAATACATTCTGATTAATAAATATTTAGTATATTTAAATAAATATAATCAGACACGATGAAATTTTAAAATATTGAAGTTTTTTATTTTCTATTTCTTTAACATATATTCTATATATTTGACAGGAGTGACAGGCCTATTTTTTGTAAGTAGTTCAAATGTCTCATCTCTGTTGTCAGTTTGTCATTAACAGCTAAATAGTTGGTTTTAGTTGTATATACTTTAGTTTGCAATTTTATTTTAATTTTAATATATAATATGGCTGGAAATTTTTGGCAAAGTTCGCATTAGTAAGTATGTTTGTTTTTAATAATTCTAATATATACATTCTCGTTTCTGTTACTGTTTTAGTCAACAATGGCTCTTAGACAAACAAGACCTCATTAGGGAAAGACATCATGATTTAACAATTTTAGCAGAAGATGAATACCAAAAAATATTTATATTCTTTTCTAGCGGTAAATTTGTGTTTTAGGTATTTACTTAAGCTTTAGTAATTTCTGTTTATTTTAGTTATACAAACTCTAGGTGAACAACTAAAACTTAGGCAACAAGTTATTGCAACAGCTACTGTGTATTTTAAACGTTTTTATGCTAGAAACTCTTTAAAATGTATCGATCCGCTTTTGCTAGCTCCCACATGCATCTTTCTTGCATCTAAAGTAGAAGAATTTGGAGTTATATCAAATACAAGGCTCATAACAACTTGTCAAACAGTTAGTAAGTATATCTCTCAATAAGTATTGTTTAAAAAGCCCATATCTATAGTTATAGGAATTAAAATGCAAGTATTATATCTAAAAATACTTCAAAATTATATTGGTATACATAAGAACAAATATATAACAGTTACAGTTTACTTACATTCATCACCATGCTGATCTTCGTGACTTCTATAAAGATTGGTATTTATCTTCATGAATCAAAGGTTTTCTAGAATGTACTGCACTGGTATAGTAAGAATTCCCAATCTTTCATAAGCCTGATGGCAAGCTTTCCTATATCACACACCAGCAAGGATCCTCACTGCCTTTCTCTGCAAACCAAATACTCTGTATCTGCTGCATGGCATGACCCCAGACAAGAACGGAGTATGAAAGATGTGAGTAGAATATGGAGTGATATGTAGTACATATAGTCTCCAATAAGACACATTAAAACCCAAATACCTTATGGATGCAAAGAAGGGTACAACATTAGGGGGCCTTAAACTTAAACAAAAAAAAAATAATTTAAACCCACATACTCTTTGACAGTAAAATCAAGTGTTCAAGACTATTAAACCAAAGGATAGTTATTAAAATATAAATACATACTGAAAAATTAAGAAATGTCAATTCAAACTAGGTATTTTAAAGACAATTAATTTAAACCCACCTATTTTATGGCTACAAAAGCAAGAATAAACCAAGGATAACCAAGTATAAACCAAAGATAACCAAGTATAAACCAAAGTTAAGTACCTAATTTAAATGCAATAACCCAATGTAAGTGTAAACATTAATTAACTTATTAAACATTCCTAATAAACTGTATTTTATCATTGGATACACGATATCAATTTGTAAAAACATTTATTTATTCCTTATTGCTATAAGGAATGGAAACATGGTCAGTGAGGTGCTGAGAAGAATGAGGACTGAGAGAGAACTTCCAATTATTGTAAACAACAGAAAAACAAGTTATCTAGGACATATTTACAGAGGAGAAAAATATAACTTTCTATGACTCATAATGGAAGGGAAAGTAGAAGGAAAAAAAGATCCAGAAAGAAGAAAATGCTCCTGGCTGAAGAATGTAAGAGACTGGACAGGCATGGACACACATTCGATACTAAGATAGAGAGCAATTTGCTGTAGTTATAACCACCTTTCTGTAATGAAGAAGAGACCTAAGAAGTGTAAAAAGCATTTTATTTAAATTAATTTATTCAACAAAAAACATAATATTTAACATAACATAATTTAAGAACAGTTATTGATATAAATAAGCATATTAAAAATACTATAAGAATAAGATAAGTAAATGTTATATAATTTTATAAAAATCCCTCTACAATTGCATTAACATTTAGAGAAATTTCAGGATGCTCATTGATGAGTGCTAAACAAGTTAACCTTTCCTGCGAAGTTCTATTTCTAAACCAAGTCTTTAGACTAAAGCGTAGAAAAACTATGCTCTGCTGTTGCTGCACTTACTGGCAGTGTAATTAATATTTGCAGAATTATTATGATATTTGTATACATTATGAATATCATAGTATTCTAATACTTCTAAAATAGAATTAGGAAGTGTTCCATTATTTTGCATGACTCTTTTCCACTTTTGAATCCACAGTGAAAACTCCCCAGTTCCCTTATTTGTATTCACTAACGTATCAAACAGAGCTAATGCAACAATATTCACTTTGAAATTTATTATAGATAAATTATAAAATGTAGTCTAAACAATTATAATACATATTTAAATTACATACAACCAATGTGTAGACAAAACTGAAGATAAGAAATATCTGTGCTGATTTCGTGTGAAAAGTCATGTCATGTACATTGAAAGAGCAATAATGTGTGGGCGGTAATTCTATCTAATCGATAATCAAACGATTCTCTGGCATTCAAATGACAAATCGACAAAATTTGAAAATTGCGTAACTCTGAATTCGCGGAAGTCGGGGTAGCGTTAGTCGAGGTATTACTGTATTCAGAATTGTTGATTTTTTTTAAAGAGCAATGTAAAAAAGCCGCCTAATTTTACACTTATCCCTAGAATAAATTAATTTGAATTTCAACTCTTGACTTCTTGCTTATAGGGTTGATGGGGTTTAAATTATTTTTTTTTAGGATTATTTGATTGATATTTAATTTTGTTTGGGGGGATCATGACCCCCCTTGGATCCGCCACTGATGTTAACATGTATATTTTAATGGTTTTAAAATTGTTTATATAGTTGTTTTTTTTTTCAGTAAAAAATAAATTTGGATATGCATACACCCAAGAATTTCCTTACCGTACCAACCATATACTGGAATGCGAGTTCTACCTCTTAGAAAACCTGGATTGTTGCTTAATAGTCTATCAACCTTATAGGCCTCTATTACAGCTGGTTCAAGATATGGGACATGAAGAGCAACTACTCACACTTGCTTGGAGGATAGTGAATGACTCTCTTCGAACAGACCTTTGTCTACTTTATCCACCATATCAAATAGCTATAGGTTGTTTACAGATTGCATGTGTTATCTTGCAGAAAGATCATAAGTCTTGGTTTGCGGAGTTGAATGTAGATATAGAAAAAATACAAGAAATAGCCAGGTATGTTATTAATCTTTTCGAATTATGGAAAACCTATGATGAAAAGAAGGAAATACAAGGACTTTTGGCTAAAATGCCTAAACCAAAGCCAGCTCCACAAAGATAGAATCAATAAATTTGTAGATTTCTAGTTTTCACTGACAATAATTTATATTTTTCAATTAAGGATAAAATTCATTTGCGTGTATAATGGAAACAAAAGTTTCCATTATACACGCAAAAAACAAAAGAACACTAGTATGGTACAATTACATACTGCACCAATTCATAAAACTCATAAGTTCAACTAGTCTGTCAAGAAGACAATATTTTCCATTTTTATGCATTTTAATGCAAATATTGAAGTTATTTCAATAATTATTAACAAAAAAACTATTACTTGGTGAACCTAACCTGAAATAATATTAAGTATATATGTCTAAATTAATAGATAGATAGATTTAGAGAGGTGGCCTTTTGGCTGATTCCATTGTGACCTTTTCAGATATATTGTGGTCACCTAGTCCTAGATATCATTCTCTAGCCTGATCCTTTTTATAAAGTCTAGTAGCTTCAAGATTGTACCGTTGTAGCTATTTGCCGGTGGATTTTCTTCTCCTAATGCAAAGAACCCGCACATTTGCCAGACTGTCACACTGACATAAAATATGCTCTGTTGTTTCTTCTTCGAGGTGATGGAATCTGCACAGGTTATCATCTTATAATCAAATCAGCTTCAAGTGCCTATTCAGCTTACAGTTCCCTGTAAGAAGACCTACTATGGCTTTAACTGTTTTCCTGTCCTTGCTTATTAGGTCTGCCGTAAATTTTGACAAATGTTCTGTAATGAACTGTTTCGCCTGTCTTTGTCCTGGTGAATTCCTCCACCATTCAAGAGATTTGTGAGCAACCCACTTTCTTGTAGTCATTCTATTTACTGACTTTGCAACGCCGCAGAAGGGTTCTGGTTCAATGAATGGCATTGATGAGCCTTGTTTGGCCCTTTTATCTGCTTTTTCATTGCCGTTATGACCCTCGTGCACTGGTATCCAGGCTACCGTAACCTTACTACAGGCTCCTACTTAGTAGAGTGCCTTTAACTCTGCCTGACTATCTGTGAAGATAGTAACTGAACAGAATGTTCTTTCCTGAATTTCTATTTCTTCCACGCAGTAATGGATTGCCGTTATTTCCGCCTGGAAAACTGTCACATCCTTAGATAGACTTACCAGGAAATGTATCCCTTGATTGGTCCCTACTATGCCGGCTCCCACACCCTCCGATGTTTTTGAGCCATCTGTGTATCAGGTAGCAGTAGTTTGTATGGGTACACCTTTATTCCAGTCTTCCCTGCCTGGTATCGTCTAAATCTGTCTAAATTAATAGTGTGTTAGCATTTTTCTGGCAATCTTTATCTTAAGGTTACGGTTGCAAACTAAATTCAAATGTCTACTCTAATATCTAATTTGTTTTTTATGATATCTATCTTCCTTTGACCAAATTCTTGAGCATTTTGTCACCTCCACCCTTCAAGCCACTAGCAAGAAGGGGAGACACAGGGGTATGTCCGGCTAACTGAACCCTGTCAGGCAGCAGAGTGGGTCAGAGTTCTTTGACGTAAAATCAGATGTAATAATGGATGCCAGTCCGTTCCAACAGAGACTATCCCTCGGCTAAGAATGTTTTTATTATTTTCGGGACATACAAGGAATAAAACAAGCCTTAAAGTTAACCAAAAAAATTATTTACAAAAACTTACTGTCTGAATATAACTAAATGTACCTAAATATATTAACAGGAGTATTCCTCCCTTTACCGTCGATTTGTCCTTCTCCTACTCTTTCACGGTAAGCCAGTATGGATTTCCAAATGTCCCAGGGACCGGCAAACCAGCAAGAAGATGCAACATGTTAAATTTACTCTAAATAAACCTAAGAAATATATTCAGTATAAAATATCCGCGAATAAGGAAACAAAAGTCCATTTACCAGGAGAAACAAGTCAGCATACAGGTAAAAAGAGTCCTTATGACAAGAGGGAATAAGTCCGCATACAGGGAGAAAAAGTTTCTCTACCAGGAGATATCCTAAAGCAACGTGGAGGAATCAGGATCATATTTTTCCTCATATAGTATAGTTTTTCCCCAATTATATCTTCTATCCATATTGTAATAAGCAAGCATTAATTGGAAATTGAAGGTTTATTCCTACAAAATCGTTCTTTAATTATCTACTATTAAAATGTTAAAGTAGAAAGCTAGATAAAAATGCTATAAAAGAAGAATTTAAAAAGACATAAAACATATAGATAACTTACCCAGTTAATTTTAGCAATGATTGGACTTTAAATATTTAAAAATAAATCACTATCTCTTTTAAACTCCCAAATTCCCATGCACTCTAAGAATCTTAACGGGAAACTACAAAAAATATGGTCCTCATCTAGGTACAACTTACTAATTTTGTTGGGACTAAACCACAATTTAAGTTCATTTTTGACCTTTCGATTTCTACTTCTACAGTCGTATTTTGAAATTAAAACCAAAACACTTATTTACAAATAACATCTTATCACAGCACTATACCGAACTTTAAGTGCCTTTAAAACAATTATAGGTACATAGTCATTTAAGCAGTAAACCACAACATCGTAGTATGTGAATAGATGTTCACCAAATTGTTTGGTTACTTGCTTCACATCTTCTTCTTCTTCGTCCAGCCATTCACGTCCACATCTGAACATAAGCCTCTTCAAGTCTTCCTTTCCATTGGTTTTTATTGTACGCTACTTGTAGCCAATTTTTCCCGGCAGTCCTTTTCAGATCATCTGTCCATCTCATAGGAGGTCTGCCTCTGGGTCTTTTGTGTTGGTATGGTCTCCAGGTTAAAATTGATCTGTGCCATTTGTTTAGATCGCTCCTAGCTACATGTCCAGCGTATTCCCATTTCAGCTTTAATGCTTTTTGCACCACATCGGTGACTTTGGTTTTCTGTCTTATCCATGTGTTTGTTTTCTTGTCCTTAAGTGATATACCTAGCAGTGCTCTTTCCATCGCGTGTTGAGTGACTCTAAGTATATTCATATTCTTTTTTGTGATTGTCCATGTTTGTGCCGCATAAGTTAATATCGGAATAATGCATGCATCAAAAACTTTAGATCTAAGATGTAATTGAATTTGTTGATTTCTGAGTATATAGTTCAGTTTACCGAATGCTGCCCAAGCTAACTTTCTTCTTCTTTTTATTTCTTCAGTCTGAATTTCCCTATTTAGGATTATTTTTTGTCCCAAGTACATATATATATTCTTCAACTTTTTCTATAACTTTATCGTTTATTATTGTCACGGTGTCTTCGGAGTGCATGACTTTTGTTTTGTTTAAATTCATTTTCAGTCCTATTTTAGAAGATTCGGTATGAAGTTCTACAAGCATGGTTTGCATTTCTTGTAGGTCAGTAGCTATCAGGATTATGTCATCTGCAAATCGTAGATTACTGAGGTAGCGGCCATTGATGTTTATTCCCTTATATTTCCAATTTAGGTTTTTAAAAACGTCCTCCAAAACTAAGGTGAACAGTTTGGGTGATAAAGTATCTCCCTGTTTGACTCCCCTGTTTAATGGTACAGGGTTCGTGTGTTCATTTTCATTTAGGTAGTATGTAGCTGTAGCTTGGTTCATAGTTTCTTTTATTAAGTTAATATATCTGCTGTCTATTCTACAATTTTGCATTGCGTTTATTACGGCCGTAATAAACTTCACATCTATGATTTTTATTTCTGGGACTCCAGTTGGCAACTGAGGAGGAAATTGTCGTGTTATCAAAGAGGGGTTACAAATAATAATCGTTACTTCACAACATCAGTTTATTCTCAACCCTCAAACATACATGCTTGCCCGAGCTTCGGCTACCTTCACATGACATCCATGTCATCTGTGTTGCCTAACTCCGGCGCCTATATCTTAATCTAAGCTAACAACACATCTCCTTTTTTTTATAAAAGATCCCTGTGTCATTAATGATCTTATACCTAAACTAACTTCAACTACTACAAACATAATCTGTTAAATGAACCGGTTTCTTCACAAGTCTTTTTGGCCTGCTAGGCTTTACGCACTCAAAGTCCGATACACTATCGCTTTTATCCTGACCCGATGGAGGTAAAACATGATTTCCACTTTGTTCGATTTTGTCCTGAAATACACTGGGTTCCCCCCTACTACTTTCCTCCATTATTTTACCCTGTATGTCACCATTGCTTTGATTAGAGCAAGGCATTAGCTTTGTGTTACTAGAAATTGGCGGAACATAATCATTTGAGGATTCTGGTTGGGTGCTCAATACAGGGAAACAGTAGGGTGCATGAATCAAATGCCATCTATTTCTTCTAAATTTCCCGGTTTCAGTTTCAATTATATAGGACCTGGGTTCCTGACAGATCGCAACAACTCGCCCATATTTCCTGATATCAACCACCCACACAGAATCACCAACCTTAAGAGGATCTAAATCCTTGGCATTGTGTCGCTTATTGTAGTTTTTCACTTGTTTATCCTTTATTTCATTCTTTTTATTTTTAGTGTTTGGTTCTTTTGAAAAGTTTAATAAGCTTGGAAGCTGGGGTAAGTTAGATCTTAATTTTCTATTCATTAATAATTCAGAAGGTGAAACACCACATTCTAGGGGTGTACATCTATATGCTAACAATGCCAAACTTAGGTCCTCTTTTTTATTTTTCTGAATTAATCTTTTTGCAATTTGTACAGTGCGTTCCACTCCACCGTTGCTCTGAGGCCAGTGCGGACTGCTCGTCGTATGAACAAAATTATATTCTTTTGAAAACTTTATAAATTTTGATGAAAATTGAGTACCACAGTCGGATCTAACTTCCTCTGGGATACCATAACGAGAGAAAATATCTTTAAGCTTAGGAATAATGGCATCTTCTGTCATATTGGTTAAAGTAAAAATTTCAAACCAATGTGAAAAGTAGTCAGTGGCAATCAAATACCACTTATCATAACATTTAAACAAATCAACCCCCAGTTTTTGCCACGGCCTTTGTACAGTATTGTCTTTATGAAATGTTTCTCTATGATTTACTCTGTGTTCAACACATTGGGGACAATG